GAATGCGCTGAGGTAACAGGGATGGGGACAGCAGAGAGGATGGGGTGAGTGAGGGGGACCTGCGCTCTTGGTGGAAGGAGCAATTAAATAACCACCATGTTGGAGGCAGAGGAAACAATATGAGGGTGAAGATAGCCCTCTGTGGGCTTTACTGGCGTCAGGGGACCTGCTGTCCTGCACGGGGACAGCTGCGGTTAGCCGTACGGGGAGCAGGATGGACAGCAGGACAGGCAGATGCCGCAGCCTCCTCTGCGCAGGGCGAAGGGGAGATAGAGGCAGCAGGGAGGGGGGATTTGGGAAGATTTTGTCAGGAGCTTGGGGGTGAAAAAGAGGACAAGCCCCCGTGCTGCCTGTAGCCAATTCCCAAGTGTTTGGGATGCCGGTGCTCACGGCAAGCTTCAGCAGGGATGTGGTGATGATGAGAGGGGCAGAGCAATTCTGTTGTGGCTTAGACTACATCATGCCACTTCTCAAAGAGCTTTATGTTTGCTCTTTTTACGTAAAATATTAGGAAAAGGTCAAATGGAGGAGGGAGAAACCAACAATTTCAACAGCAGATTTGATCTTAAAGGTAAAAAGAAATGGAGTTTGTTAAAAAGCCGTAGTTAACTTACAGCGCACTACAAGGAGCGGTGCATGGCTGCACAATTCAGCCAAGTAACAAGAAGACAGGCTGAGAGAGGTGGGGCTGTTCAGCCTGGAAAAGAGAAGGCTCCAGGGAGATCTTATAGCGGCCTTCCAGTGCCTGAAAGGGCTACAAGAAAGCTGGGGAGGGACTTTTCATAAGGGCAGTTAATGACAGAACAAGGGGAAATGGGTTTAAGCTGGAAGAGGGGAGGTTTACATTAGATAATATTAGGAAGAAACTCTTCACTGTGAGGGTGGTGAGACACTGGCCCAGGTTGCCCAGAGAAGCTGTGGCTGCCCCCTCCCTGGAAGTGTTCAAGGCCAGGCTGGATGAGGCTTTGAGCAACCTGGTCTAGTGGAAGGTGTCCCTGCTGATGGCAGGGGGGTTGGAACTAGATGATCTTTAAGGTCCCTTCCAACCCAAACCATTCTATGATTCTTTGATTCTATGAAGATAAAACTGTTCCAGCCAGCTCAGCTTTTTATCATGCTTCTCCGCAAAGCCACCAGCTAACAGAGTTTAGGTAACGGCCTAAAACTCTTCTTTTCTAATTTAAAAAAAATGCTTTCATTTAGTGATTTCAACTCACTATACTGGTACCTGAAATGGGCTTTGTTTCCCCCCTACCACCCCCCCACACCAGAGCCATTACAGATGAGATCATCTGCTGTACTGAAAGGAGATTTCCAGCCTGTCCCACTGTATATGTTAGGGTAGTCATTACTGACCTAGTTGTAGACATAATAATGAAAGGCTGAGATTATGAATTATTATGCCTAATTTGTAAGGGATTCTCTGCTTTTGTGTTTTGCAATTCCCATCAGGCCTGAGGATTAAGCCCTGCTGAATCGCATGCTAATACCAATGTGCTTTGAACATGTGTGGGTTTGTATCACATGTTTTCCTAATTCACTATTTTTATAAAGAACGATTTCACTGGAAATATTTACTTTTCAAAAGATTGTTGGAAGCCCAACCAGGATCTCCTAAGGAAAGTCAAGTCAGTTTCCTCTCCATCTGCTCCGTGCTTACTCTAGCTCCCGTGTCCAGCGAGCGCTGTCTCTGCTGTGGCAAAACATCAAACTGTAGCTCCACCAAAGTATGTGGAAGGCATTTGCTCTTTGTTAATGAGAGGGAGAGATACCAATTAGCAACCAGTGTGCAGGCTTGCTTTCAATTACAGTTCAGGATGGAAAAATCTGATTTACATACTTTATCCAAGCGCAGTGATGATGTGAGCTTAGTCCTCGCAATCTGTATCGCTAATGCTCGCACGGCAGTACAGCGAAGGGGCTGGCAAAACACGAAGTGCATGCGGCGTTGTCACCGGTACACCCACGTTTCAGGAGGAAATCAGCCCACAAGAGCCACACCAGTTTGCAGCTGGCTGAGTCAGTGACCACTGGTCACAAATAAACGGGTGGTTCACCACCATCTTACCCACCAGCGTGGGACAAGCTGGTGGGAGCTCCTGCTGTGTGTGGTGCAGCTCTCCTCAGGTGGGATTCCATGTCTTTGCTGTAGGATGCTCCTGCTGCACTGCCCGCTGCTGCTGCTGCTGCTGCTGCCACTCAGCTCCAGGCCCCAGAAGTTACCCACCAGAGATGAGGAGCTCTTCCAGATGCAGATCCGGGACAAAGCATTTTTTCATGATTCGTCAGTCATCCCAGATGGAGCCGAAATTAGCAGCTACCTCTTCCGAGACACACCTAAAAGGTATGTCTGCCCAGTTCAAGTGGGGAAGTTGTACTTTGAAGATAGTAGCTTTATTTGCTGGATGCTTTGAAATAAAAATTGGATCCAAACCAGAAAAATACAAATGCCAGCGTTCTGTCTGGTGAAGTAAAGAACAATGCGAGTTTCCATCCCAATCTGGCCTCCCCAGCTGAGGGTCTATCTGATTTATTTGATTTCTGGAACAAGCCCAGAGCTCCCGCAGACCACAGAAGTCTCCTGAAGTGGGGCCACTAACCATGTCTGGAGGCAAAGGGAGCGGGAAGGAAATTAGAAACTACAAGCTTACCCCACCATGCTTATCTTTCTTCATTATTTCATATTGTGCTTTAAAGAAGCAGTGTGAGCCAGTCTGGTTGGAACTCCTCACTTCCCAACCTCAACCCTATGGGTAAGAAAATACTGAGGTTAGACTGGGGAAGAGCCTGAGGCTCCAAAGAGGTCAGGGAAGACCAACATTGCCACCTTCCTCCTCATATCACACACCTTAAGCCTTCAACGGTGCGAAACACTGTACAATAAATGACACAATGCTTGAGGGATGTGGGAGGACAGCTGAATGTGTATGGATCTGTATGTGCTTCTAGGGCCCTTCCCTGGACGTAGCACCTGTGAGGGTGTCATAGCACTGGGACAGGCTGCCCAGAGAGGTTGTGGAGTCTCCATCTCTGGAGATGTCCAAAACCCGCCCAGATGCTTTCCTGTGTAACCTGCTCTAGGTGACCCTGCTTTGGCAGGGGGGTTGGACTAGATGATCTCCTGAGGTCCCTTCCAACCCCCACGTTTCTGTGATAAAATGCGTGTCCTGCTTTGAAGAGCACATCCCTAAATTCCAGGAAAGATCCCGTTTCCCTCATTTATATCTTTGTGACCATTTATACTGTATATAGTTAGTGTAGGGGTGAAAAGTGAAGCTGAGGGCAGGAGGCCAGAAACCCCTCTGCTGTGTCTTGACAAGCCAAGTGTGAACTTTGCAGCACCGTGTTAGTGGGGGGACTCCCCTCGCCTCCTTAGCTCTTACCCACTGGCCTTTCCATGTTCCTTCTGCACGCGCTTCCCTGTAAGTAACACTCTTGTCTCTGTTGCCCCACCAAGATCAACCTTGATCACGTCAAGTCAGTCCCTGCCGGTTGGCTGCCATCAGGATTTATTTATGTATGGGTCTGTTAACCTTCCCCTAGGTATTTCTTTGTGGTTGAAGAGGACAACACTCCCTTAGCAGTGACAGTGACACCATGCGATGCCCCTCTGGAGTGGAAACTGAGTGTGCAAGAGCTCCCAGAGGAAGCCAGCGGAGAAGGTTCAGGTAACAAACGACCAACGACTTCCCTTGTGCCTCAGGGACGTGCTTTTCCCCTGGATGCAAAGCCCCTCAGACCAGTCTCAGTCTGACGCTAAGCCTCGCAGCAGGTCCATCTTTATGATCTCCTGCTGTTTGGATCTTCAGCCTCAGTCTTGCTGTGGTGCAGGAATCTGGCAGCAGGTAGCAGCATGAGAAGGAAAAGGTCTGTAAAAAAGTAAAAGTAAAAGCTGAGGTTATACTTATGGAGTGCACTAGATGCTGCCACGACAAACTGTGTTTGCCCAGAGTAACTTGGCTTCACAGGGACTTTGCTGTGAGCTGTACACACAAGATAAGAACTGGAGAGACAGGGTTGGGATTGCAGCAGGGCTGAGCCTCAACCCTTTGAGGGGACACGTCTGTAGACACGGAGTTTATTTGCAGATAAACATGTATCTACTACTGAGAAGAGAAAAGGTCTCTGGCTTCCAGAGCCTCTCACACAACTCCTAAATGTCAGACACACCACACTGTGTTACATACACACCACTGTGTTGTATACACATCTTTGGCTCCCACCGTATTTAGGCACAAAGTTTTAGTGTGACTCTGAGGGCCAAAGCGAAGGGCCCAAGCCCAGAAGCAGGCAGCGGTGTCAGTACCCCTGGGGAGCTGCATGGCATCCCCAGCTTGCATGCCTGAAGTAGTCTAGTGGAAGGTATTAGCTACCATTCACAAAGACTCCACTGATACTGGTCAGGTGCAGTTTCTTTTGTGTTTGGCTTGAACATGAGTGTCAAACCAGTTTCCCTCTCCGATGTGATGGAAGCATCTTCTTCAGAAGACAAAACCTTCCTTTTTCATCTCACTTTTGTATGTTACATAGAAGTGTCTGTTAGACTTTTCTCATATTTGCAGACTGTGTCTGTACAAATATTTTTCTTTGTTTATAATCTAGGTGAACCAGAACCTCTTGAGCAACAGAAACAGCAGATTACTAATGAGGAAGGCACAGAGCTGTTCTCTTACAAAGGCAATGATGTTGAATACTTTGTGTCCTCTAGTTCCCCATCTGGTTTGTACCAACTAGATCTGCTGTCGACAGAGAAAGATACACATTTTAAAGTGTATGCAACCACTACTCCAGAATCAGACCAACCTTATCCTGAATTACCTTACGATCCCAGAATTGATGTCACTTCTCTGGGACGTACAACAGTGACGCTGGCATGGAAACCAAGTCCCACCGCCTCCTTACTGAAACAGCCGATTCAGTATTGCATAGTCATCAATAAAGAACACAATTTCAAAAGCCTTTGTGCTGTTGAAGCCAAGCTCAGTTCTGATGATGCCTTCATGATGGCTCCAAAACCAGGTCTGGATTTCAGTCCGTTTGACTTTGCCCATTTTGGCTTTCCCTTAGACAACAACTCTGGTAAAGAACGTGGTTTCCTAAAACCATCAGCAAAGTTTGGGCGCCAAACATCCTCAAAGCCGAGAGTTGACCTACATAAAGTTTGTATTGGGAACAAGAACATCTTCACAGTGTCAGACCTGAAGCCCGACACGCAGTACTACTTTGACATGTTTGCCATAAATACCGACACTAACATGAGCACTGCATACGTTGGCACCTTTGCCAGAACGAAGGAGGAGGCTAAACAGAAAACAGTCGAGCTGAAGGACGGCAAAGTTACAGATGTATTCATCAAGAGAAAGGGAGCCAAATTTCTACGTTTTGCTCCTGTTTCATCTCACCAAAAAGTCACCTTCTCTGTTCATTCATGTCTGGACGCTGTTCAGATCCAAGTTAGAAGAGATGGAAAACTTCTTTTGTCTCAAAACGTAGAGGGTGTGCGGCAGTTCCAGCTTCGGGGAAAAGCAAAAGCTAAATATCTCATTAGGCTGAAAGGAAGCAAAAAAGGTGCTTCTGTGCTGAAGATCCTGGCTACAACAAGGCCTAACAAGCAGTCATTTCCTTCTCTTCCTGAAGATACGCGGATCAAAGCCTTCGACAAACTCCGCACGTGTTCTTCGGTCACGGTGGCATGGCTGGGCACGCAGGAGAGAAACAAATTCTGCATCTACAAAAGGGAAGTGGATGACAATTACAATGACGAACAGAAGAAAAGAGAGCAGAACCAGTGCTTGGGTCCAGATACGAGGAAGAAATCAGAAAAGGTTCTCTGTAAATACTTCCACAGCCAGAACATCCAGAAAGCAGTGACCACAGAGACAATCAGAGGCCTGCAGCCTGGCAAGTCCTACCTGCTGGACGTTTATGTGATAGGGCACGGCGGGCAGTCCGTGAAATATCAGAGCAAACTGGTGAAAACAAGGAAGTTCTGTTAGTGCCCCTGTACTTAGAAATCTATGGAACTCCAGTCTGAACGTTCTCCTACTTCCAAGTATGCGGATTGACTACTTGCACAGCTGAGAAGTTGTGACCTGTATTTGTACTGTGTAGAAAAGATATCAACTTGTATATTTATGTTTACATAAGTAATTGTTTGGAGGAACTGAGGCTGGTGCTCTCTGGTAGCATCTGGCAACGGTATTATTATCATGTGTGTGGTGACCCACATATGATGCTCAGTAGATGTCCAAGGTAGCAGGAAACCTTGAAGAAACTGGCACTCCTTTGCTTCCATATTGCATGAACTGCTTCTAAATTATTTTATACTTAAAAGGCTGAGATACATCATTCGTCCACCTTGTTATTCACACACAAAACTCGCAGACATACACCCTTTCTCTCAGTGTAGATGGTAGGGTTTCTGTAAATTATTTTATAGGGTCTTGTTTTAAATGTTTGTTTCTATGATTGTAAACTATTAAAATCTCTCCCCAATAAAATACAGATCTCAACTAAGTATTAACTGGGCTGCACATGAAGCAGTTTCATTGCTAATGTAAATTCTTACCTAGCTGATGTTCATGTTTAAATACTGTATGTATTTCATGTACAAAGTTGCCATAACGTTATATTCCTGTACATAAAATTAAAAATATTAGATTCTATATTGTTTCTTTTTTCTTGACATTTCTAAGGGGGCAAACGGATTTGGGGACAGAAGAGGCGTGCTGGAACTTAAACTGAATTCAGCTAGGACATGCCTTTTTTGTTGTTCTTCATCTTTTTGGGCAAGGTGGCTGAAGTCCAGTACAACTACTGGTGTTACTGAGTCAATTAAAATCTGGAAGGAAGCGCAGGCCATTGAAGGAGCAGTATTTGTGGCGTTCTCTGGGCCTACAGTAATACAGGCACTAAAGGAGCAGGACAGCACAGAGAAGCTTCACTTGTCCCAGGTGAGAACGGATCCTGTTTCATCATGGTTGTGAGTGCCACTAGCACTTCACAAGGAGCTTGCAGTCTGAGTTAGAGAGACCATACAATTCAAATGAATAACACACCAGAGAATCAGTTGTTATTTTTGTTAGATTATCGTTGAAAACATTGGCTTTCTGAATTGGATGCTGCTGGTTTTGATGCAGTAATAATAAACTGAGAGGATTTCCATTGACAAGAATGGTAGTGCTAAGAAAAAAATGTGTACTTTCATTCAAATTGCAGTTATTTCCATTGTGTAGATTTCTTTTTAAAATAGTAAATGTCTGGATCTCATATTTTCTAATTATTTTATTTGTTTTTCCCCACATCACCTTCATTGACTCAGAAAATTGTATCGAGTTGCTTAATGGCAAACACACTTCTGAGAAGCAACAGAGCAGCCCCATTTCAAGTGGCCAAGAGCAGGACAGGTACTGCCTCAGTCCCAGCATTACAGTAAGGGACAGGGACTCGGGACGGGTGACTGAAAACTTCTTTCTTGGTCCCATTGTATGTATCAGTCTGCAGCACTCAGGCACTGGATGTCAGGGCTTATTCAAAGACAGACTCTGTCTCTTCCTTAGGTGCCTGTCCACAAAACATCTCCCTGCTGTGGCTTTAGCACTTGCAGCCCTCTGAAGATGAGGGAAAGGGACCAAAATCTACATAAAGGCTGAAAGCAGATTCCTCTTAGGCTGCTCACAGGGAAGACAACAACTCTCCATCCCTGCAGAGGTGAGCTCCAGTTCTCCTTGGCCCCTTAGTGCTGAGCTCTTCAGGATTTCCTTCTCCTCCCCCCAGCACGTTTCAGTTTGCAGACCGGTGGGCGGCAGCAGGGTTTCGTGGCTGCACAAGCTTCCATGCCGTTCCACATCCCAAGTGTGCTGTGACGGGTCTCCAAGAAAGAGGCAGCTACTGTATGAAGACTGATCAGAAGATGCCTGCTGTGTTTAAAGTAATTATATAATAAACCTAATAACTGAAATTCCGATTTCTCCAGAGATGATCTCCTCTCCTCATTTGAAAACATCTCTCTGATATCTTAAAGTGAATGGCTTCAGTAACATGTGCCTGCTAGATTTCATTACCAGGCCAGGGCGTAGATGAGCAGTAGATGACTACAGCTGGGAATCACTCAAGAATGGGACTGTGATAC